GACACTGCAACCGTCATAAGTACCGGTCAGTTGCCAAGCATCTGAATTGAGATCACGTGACCACGGGGATACTGCAACCGTCGTAAATGTGAAAAATTTGTATAAGTCATTTTTTTTTCAAATGAAGATGTGGTGTTTTTTTGGGGGGGGGTTGCTTTTTAATACCAACAAGCTCCATTTTCCCTTTCCGATAATTTTTACGATTCTCCCGAGCTTCTGCAATACACAGCTCATAATGTATGCAAATAAAGTCCATTTCAATTGACTTCCTGTTAAAATCCGGGAAAGGAGTGGGAATTATGATCCAATTCGTAATAAAAGCTCTCCACCTTTTTAATTTGAATGTACATTTAACAAAGTCTTCTCCTTCCTCTGCATTCTTAAGTCACCCTCTTTAGTAATTACCCAGTTCGCTCCAGCCTTAAATTATAGATGGAAACATTAAAAAGCCATTACAACTTTATTATATCAAGCGCTATTAAAATGAAAAGTAAAATTGCGTTTGAAAGATGCATTCTTTAACACACATTAAGGCGTTTTCCCAAGTTAGGATTGCTATTAGATTGTCTTAGGGGCCTTAGAGGGATACACAATTACAACTACAGCATTGGTGAAGTTAGAATATGTTTGAGTGTAGGCATTCTGACGTGTGAAAGCGAATATACGTGTCCCAGGATAATGTTGCTGGATCCAATCTGGGTCAGTCAACAGGACAAGAGATCTCTCTACAGCAGTGGTTCTCAACCTGTGGGTTGGGACCCCATTTGGGGTCGAAAGACCATTTCACGGGGGTCGCCAAACAACGCAGTCCGCCATTTCCCTTCCCTTTTCCTTAGCTGTGCTGCTCCCTTTTATTCTATTGGTTTTTGAAAGCCAATAGAATAGACTCGCTTGAATAGAGTCTAATTCTATTGGCTTTCAAAAGCCACTAGGAATTGTCCAGGCTGTCTCTGCCCTGCTGAGCCCGCCAAAAGTCCCATTCTGCAAACGGTGCTGCACCAGTTGAGTAGTCCTCGACTTACGACTGGTTGAGTAGTCCTCGACTTACGACCGGTTGGGGGTCACGTCATTAAAAAGGTTGAGAACCACTGCTCTACAGTGTGTACTTTGGGCTATTCTATGTGAGGTATTTATATGTTGCCTGGCTGTGGGGGGCTTTTTAGTTGTTGATGGAGGTGTGGATGGCTAGCTATTAAGTTGTTAGCTGTGGTTTCCTTGTGCTGCCAAGTCCTTGGCTCCTAAGTACTCAAGGATCTGGTGGTAAATCAGAATTTCTGTTAACATTGAGGGGCTTGTTTCCCAGGCTTCTATTACTTCCCTGGCTGTTTTTGTACCTGCTCGGCCAACAATCTTAGTAGCTGCAAAATTGAATGTATATGGGCTCCGGCACAAGTCCGAAAGCTTGGAAGACAAAATCTCTGTCAGAATAATCGAGCTGGAAGGGACTTTGGAGGTCTTCTAGTCCAACCCCCTGATTCAAGTAGGAGACTCTATGCCATTCTAGACCAGTGGTTCTCAACCTATGGGTCGGGACCCCATTTGGGGTTGAACGACCATTTCATGGGGGTTGCCCAACAACGCAGTCCGCCATTTTTTCCCCCCTTTTCCTTAGCTGTGCTACTCCCTTTTATTTTATTGGCTTTTGAAAGCCAATAGAATAGACTCTCTTGAATAGAGTCTAATTCTATTGGCTTTCAAAAGCCAATAGGAATTGTCCAGGCTGTCTCTGCCCTGCTGAGCCCGCCAAAAGTCCCATTCTGCAAACGGTGCTGCACCAGTTGAGTAGTCCTCGACTTACGACCGGTTGAGTAGTCCTCGACTTATGGTTGGGGGGTTGCAGCATTAAAAAGGTTTAGAACCACTGTTCTAGACAAATGGCTGTCCAGTCTCTTCTTAAAAACCTCCAATGGTGGAGAAGGAAGGAAGGAAGGAAGGAAGGAAGGAAGGAAGGAAGGAAGGAAGGAAGGAAGGAAGGAAGGAAGGAAGGAAGGAAGGAAGGGGAATAACAGAATAACAGAATGCAGAGTTGGAAGAGACCTTGGAGGTCATCTAGTCCAACCCCCTGACTCAAGCAGGAGACCCTATACCATTTCTGACAAGTGGCTGTCCAGTCTCTTCTTAAAACCCTCCAGTGATGAAAACTTCTGAAGGCCAGCCCTTCCACTGGTTTATTGTTTTCACAGTCCTTCACACCAATGCCATTTCTCTGAGATTGTGTGCCTTTGAGTCATACAACCACAATGAAAAACTTGCACTTGGAAGCCCAGGGCAAAACATCACCCGTCTTCCATTTATCTGCCACATTCACTGGGATTTAGAAACTTAATCAGAACCAAAAGCGATCTCTGTTTCTGTCTCCTTCTCCCAACCTCCACAAGGGATTTCTCTCTTCCTGGACTCATTTTGCACTGCAAAGTCTTCCATCATGCAATGAAAACCTGAAGGGGGGGGGGGAGGAGAGATTGCTTTCTCCAATAGCAAAAGGAGTTCAATTTCACTTACAAGGCAAGCATTCTCGCTTAAGTGCTACAGCCAGGAAAGCATCTGCAGGCTTGATAACTGCTTCCAATAAGAAAAGAAGAGGGGAATATACACTAAAAGTCTGTTTGTGGACTGATCCACGTGCAAATCAATCTGAACGTGAAAGAAAGAAAGAAAGAAAGAAAGAAAGAAAGAAAGAAAGAAAGAAAGAAAGAAAGAAAGAAAGAAAGAAAGACAGACAGACAGACAGACAGACAGACAGAAAGACAGAAAGAAAAAGAAAGAAAGAAAGAAAGAAAGAAAGAAAGAAAGAAAGAAAGAAAGAAAGAAAGAAAGAGAGAGAGAGAGAGAGAGAGAGAGAAGAGAGAGAGAAAGAAAGACAGGAAGACAAAGAAAGACAGAAAGAAAGAAAGAGAGAAAGACAGTCAGAAAGAGAGAGAGAAAGAAGAAAGAAAGACAGAAAAACAGACAGAAAGACAAAGAAACAAAGACAGAAAGAAAAAGAGAGAGAAAGACAGAAAGACAGAAAGAAAAAGAAAGAAAGAAAGAAAGAAAGAAAGAAAGAAAGAAAGAGAAAGAAAGACAGAGAGAGAGAAAGAAAGACAGGAAGACAAAGTCAGAAAGACAGACAGGAAGAAAGAAAGAAAGAAAGAAAGAAAGAAAGAAAGAAAGAAAGAAAGAAAGAGACAGAAAGAGAGAGAGAACGAAGAAAGAAAGAAAGAAAGACAGAAAGAAAAAGAGAGAGAAAGACAGAAAGACAAAAAGAAAGAAAAAGAAAGAAAGAAAGAAAGAAAGAAAGAAAGAAAGAAAGAAAGAAAGAAAAGAAAAGAAAACAGAGCAGAAGAAAGGAAAAATTACTTCTAGCTAAAATGAAACAAATGGAATTATGGGCCGCATAATGAGTTTATTCAAAATGGAATTGTGTAACTAATGTCAATCTTCAGGAAATTTCTGCTTCCAAGAGAAAACAGGGGAAGAGACTGGGAAATGGTTCAAACTGCCTTTATGAAAACTCGATTGCTTCTGCCTGTGGATGCCATATGACATCTGCCCTGAAAGAGATTGTTAATTATTATATTAAATATGAGCCAATGGCGTGCGGCGGCAGCCAAAAAAACCTAGGCAATCCTAGGCGGCATTAACAGAGGGATAGAATCGAGATGAAATGAAATGTTACTATTAGTACCGTACTTCACATGTATTAGCATCTTAGTAAGGTACTAACAGACATGAAGTACTTAGTAAAGTATTAGTAAATACTTAATAAAGTATTATACCTTACTAAGACCACGTTTGGAATACTGCCACCAGTTTTGCTCACGATACTATAAAAAAAGATGTTGAGAGAGTACAGAAAAAAAGCAAGAAATATGATTAGGGGGCTGGAGGCTAAAGCATATGAAGAATGGTTGCTGGAATTGGATCTGTCTAGTTCAATGAAAAGAAGGATTCATGGTGACAGGATAACAGTGTTCCAATATCTAAGGAGCTGCCACAAGGAAGAGGGGTCAACCTATTCTCCAAAGCGCCTGAAGGCAGGACAAGAAGCAACCGATGGAAACTAATCAAGGAGAGAAGCAACCTAGAATTAAGGAGAAACTTCCTAACAATTAATCAGTGGAATGACTGGCCTCCAGAAGTTGTGGGTGCTCCATCACTGGAGGTTTTTAGGAAGAGAGTGGTCAGCCACTTGTTTGGAATGATATAAGATCTCCTGCTTGAGCAGGGGGTTGGACTAGAAGACCTCCAAGGTCCCTTCCAACTCTGTTATTATGGTATCCTTCCTTCCTTCCTTCCTTCCTTCCTTCCTTCCTTCCTTCCTTCCTTCCTTCCTCCCTCCCTCCCTCCCTCCCTCCCTCCCTCCCTCCATCATTGGAGGCTTTTAATAAGAGACTGGATAGCCACTTGTCTGGAATGGTATAGGGCAGTGATGGCGAATCTTTTAGAGACCGAGTGCCTAAAAACCACCCCCACCCCCATTCCCGCTCGATCCTGCCCGCTGGGCCACCCACCACCTACACGGCCCGCCACAGATCACCCAAGCGGCCCAACAGCACCACGGCGGCCACACCCTCCGCAGTATCATCTGCACGTGACAGGGCAAAACGGCAGAGTCTTGTCCCCGCTGCCCAGCTACCATGTCCTTGGCTGCGCTGCTTTGCATGCCCAGGGGTTACTCTACTCCGGGGGGGGCTGCTGGTGAGGAGGGGGCCATGGGAGGAGGCGAGGCTGGGGCGACAGTGCGTGTGCCCACAGAGAGGACTCCGAGTGCCGCCTCTGGCACGCATGCCATAGGTTCGCCACCACTGGTATAGGTTCTCCTGCTTGAGGTTGGACTAGATAGGATAGGATAGGATAGGATAGGATAGGATAGGATAGGATAGGATAGGATAGGATAGGATAGGATAGGATAGGATAGGATAGGAGACTGGCCAATTGTGTTTGGAAACACAAGGAATTTTAGAAAATCTGAAAATATCATACATAGGAAAATGAGTAAAATAAGAACGCGAACTCACCGCAAATTCATCCTGCCACTGATGTTCTTTCTGGAATTTTTCTGCTGCTTCAGCAAGACGCTAAGAAAAGAAAAGAAATAATGTGTTAAGCCATTCTGCACTCTCCTGCGGACATGAAAATAGTGGAATAAGACAAGGGATATTTCTAATCTTAAAATAGTTTAGCGGCTAATCCGAGGATCCCCAGAGGAAAGATAGGTAATGTATAAACTAACATTACCATGCATTAGCAAAGATCATTAACTACAGTTCTTAAGAATACAAGTTATATTAACATCTTTCCTGAAAGGGCCCGTGGATATTAAATGTAATTTCATAGTACACGAAGAAATGAGAAACAAAGGCTTTGGATTCAGGTTTTATTACAAACGGATCTAAGTCACATTTCTTGAACATATAGCTATCCTTCCATTTTTTCTCTTCTCTGACATTTGCTATGCATTTCTCCAAACGGGCATAAGAATTAAATCAACAAAGAGAAAATAATCACAGATCATGGAAAATTGCTGGTAAGAATGAATGATCATAGACAGGTAGTCCTTGACTTTATTTATTTATTTATGAGACTTATATACCGCTTTAAGTGCAAGCACTCTCTAAGCAGTGTACACCAGTAAGCAATGTATATATATTTACATTGCCCCCAACAATCTGGGTCCTCATTTTACCTACCTCAGAAGGATGGAAGGCTGAGTCAACCTTGAGCCGGTGAGATTTGAACCGCTAACCTGCTGAACACAGTCAGCTAAAGTGGCCTGCAGTACTGCACTCTAACTACTGCGCCACCTCGGCTCTTACGACTTACGACCACTGTTAAACCCAATATTTCTGTTGCTAAGTGTTGTGATTCCTTACTAGCCAGTGGACCCGGCAGCTGAGTCCGAGGAATCAGAGGAGGAGGAGGAGGGGCCTGGAGTGACCCCTAGAGTCAGAGGAAGGTTCTGACTCTAGGGGTCAGAGGAAGGCTCTGAAGAGCTCCAAGATTTAAAGTCGGATGAGGAACCTGGCCCCTCTACCCGCACTCAGGCTGAGACACAGCTGTGCTGGGAGCCTGAGTTGGACAGTGATGAAGAACAGCTGGGACAAATCCAGGATGCACGAATGTGCAGACAAGAGAAGCGAGTAGGACAGAGGAATACAATGGGGCCGCTCCAAAGGCAAAGGAGAAGGCATTAGGAAGCCACGCCTTGGCTGCATTATAAAAGGGAAGGTGTGGGAGGTGCTGGTTGCAGAAGGCAGCCGTTCGTGTTGAGGATCGAGTTTCTGTGGACTGTGTTTGTTTGCCTTGGACATTGACTCAGGTTGTGAATAATAAAAGGGGATTGTTTTTTTTTTCCTGTGGTTCCAGCCAGCTTTTTGGAAGAGGGGTTTCTCCTTGTGAGCTTAACAAGGACTGACGTAGGCTGGGACAGAACACTGAGACAGTGGTTAAGTGAGATTTGCCTCATATTACAACCGTTCTTGCCACAGTTGTTAAGTGAATCATTCCAGATGTTAAGTTAGTATCATGGTTGTTAAACTGAATCTGGTTTCCCCATTGGCTTTTGCTCGTCAGAAGGTAGCAAAAGGGGATCACATGATCCCAGGATGCTGCAACCGTCATAAATGTGTCAGCCCCCTAATCATCTTTGTTGCTCTTCTCTGCACTAATTCTATCATGAGAAGACAGAATCTCAGCTCTTGATGAAATGCAATTATTAACATAATGCGATCACACCCTGCCCCCCCCAAAAAAACCCTCTATGCAAATAGAAAAGTCATCAGCATATAAATAAAACATGTCCACGACAGCTGGTGGAAAGGAATAGCAGACAAATCAAATATAATAAAACAATGAATAATAATTTCGGAAGAGATAAAGAAAGAGCGGGGCCAAAGACAGAGAATATTTCTGGGCTCTTTCCCACATTTTCATCCTTCGCTTGACGCTTCTGGACAGAAATTGTGTGGCTGTTGTTGTTGTTGTTGTTGTTGCCCCTCTGAATGCAAATGTATGTGATTCACACTTTCTGAATGCACCAATGTGCACATTGTGTTGAATTATTGTTGAGGGGACTCTGCATATAAAAACCTGTTTAAAAAATCCATCCCTGGTTTTGCTATGGAAGGATCTTGGATCGCAGAACTAAAAATTAGCTCATGTTAAATTTCACCATCATTTCTAAAGTACTGACTTGAAATCCTTCTATCATAATTTCTGCCCTTCTCTAGAATCATCCTCACTACTAACAGCCATCTAGTCCAGGGGTAGGCAACCTTGGCTCTTTTATGACTTGTGGACTTCAACTCCCAGAATTCCTGAGCCAGCCACGCTGAGGGGAAAGGGAGAGGTTTCCAAGCTGAGCCATGCTGGCTCAGGAATTCTGGGAGTTGAAGTCCACGAGCCATAGAGTGGCCTAGGCCTAGGCCAGAGGTAGGCAACCTTGGCTCTTTTATGACTTGTGGACTTCAACTCCCAGAATTCCTGAGCCAGCCACGCTGAGGGGAAAGGGAGAGGTTTCCAAGCTAAGCCATGCTGGCTCAGGAATTCTGGGAGTTGAAGTCCACGAGTCATAAAAGAGCCAAGGTTGCCTACCCCTGACCTAGGGCATTATGGATTATTGTTGACCAAAACAAAAACACCCTATGCTAAAATAAATACCCCATATCATGTAACTGTTGCTTCCCATGGTTCCTCCATGGTTATTAAAAGAATTCAGAGGCAACAGCTTACAACGCTTGTGTACCAAAAGTTTGGCCTCCTTTGAGGATTTTCAATCATCCAAGTCATGGTTATCCCAAAGATGCTTCCCCCCCCCCCCCCCCCCCAAAAAAGGCAACTGGACTTTCTTGGTTTCTTTCGTTGAAAACGTTTTGCTTCTCATGCAATAAGCTTCTTCAGTTCTAACTGAGCTAGAACTGAAGACATTTCTTGGATAAGAAGCGAAACATTTTCAAGGAAAGAAACCAAGAAAGTCAAATTGTGTTGTGGAAAAGCAGCTTTGGATTGCTGTCTTTTACTTCTTCAGATCCTTCTTTGATTGGAATCCACCTATCCTCTTCTCCTCCCCTTCCTTTCTTCCTTCCTTCTTCCCTCCTTCCTTCCTTCTTCCCTCCCTCCCTTCCTTTTTCCTTCCTTCCTTTCTTCCTTCCTTCCTCCTTCCCTCCTTCCTTCCTTCTTTTCTTCCTTCCTTCCTTCTTTCTTTCCTTCCTTCCTTCCATCCGTTTCTTCTTTCCTTCCTTCTTTCCTTCCTTCCTTCCTTCCCTCTTTCCTTCCTTCCTTTCTTCCTTCTTTCCTTCCTTCCTTCCTTCCTCAGGAGATCCTATACCATTCTGGACAAGTGGCTCTCGTTGATGACCACCATTCAACACAACTTCCCCAAAACAGTGATATTACTATCTACTATGAATTTGGATCTTATTTTACGATTTGATCTACGGATCTTATTTTCCTGTGTGCGCTAAATTGTAAGCAGCTTAGAGCCTTGTGTAGATTTAGCGGCACGGGCACTGGAGTAAATAAAAACAAACAAACAAAGAAATACTTCTTGCATATTCCAATAGGTAACCCTTCCCGTAAAGGAGTCGATAGAAAATGCAAATGTAATCTCTACGTGCTGTCACTTTTGAAGGTGCACACGTATATTTAATAAGGAGAATCAATGTTCCTTCAGCCTTCTCAGTCAGCCAGTACTTCTTAATGTGGAAACAATTATCTTTTGAAAATGCCATCTCTGTCTTGAAGGAGAAATTTCCTGATGGTGAGAATAAGGGACTTGCCTCCAAAAGTTGTGGGTGCTCCAACACTGGAGATGTTTAAGAAAAGACTGGAAAGCCATTTGTCCAGAATAGTATTGGGGGGTCTCCTGCTTGAGCAGGGTTAGACTAGAAGACCTCCAAGGTCCCTTCTAACTCTGTTATTCTGTGAAGTCAGTTCTGGTCTTCAAATGCAGGAAGAGAAGTAAGTGGAAAGAACCTGGGGTGGACTTTGTCTGAATCAAAAGTTGCTACCTCTTGATGAGTAGAAAAATCAACAGTGAAATATAAAGAAAGACGCTTGTTAAGTTATAGTATTTACTTGGTGAACCTTCTGAACTTTTCTGCTGACTTTAGAGAGATGAGATGAAAGTTGAACAGGCGAAAAAGAAAAAAAAAAGGAAGAATAGTCACATCAACTGTCAGCCTAGAAACTAGCTAACCATTCAAAGTTTGGCCTTCATGTCCCAAGAGATGTCACTAATCTATGAAAAGCTTTTCATGCACTGTCATGAGCTAGAAAAAAACAGGGATGAACTTTATCTGATCTCCAGCTCCCAAGAAGGTTTATTCACCCTTCAAACCTTCGCAATATTTTGGTCGTGTCTTTATCTCTCCCTGACCAGCATCTGACAGCCAATGTGAGGTTTGAAGGCATCTCATTGTCATGAAAGAGTCCTTTTGTGCTTTCTACAATTGTTTCCTTTGAATGCATTGAAAGGGGTCTCTTTGAGGACCTCCTAATAGTCTGGGCTACATTTACATTTTGTGAAAAGAGAGTCCCATTCCATCTGTCAAAAATCAGAAGGAATTTAGAAGCAGCTAACTCAAACTTTTTATTAAAAGTCACCGGGATTTGTGAGCTGAGGGTCATGTCATCAGATGAAGGAATAGATCACAAAAAGCCTATGTCTTCTTTATGTTTATATATATATATGTGTGTGTGTGTGTGCGTGTGTGTGTGTGTTTTCGCGGGTGTTTGTATGTAGGTCTTTGGTTATTCGGGTTTTCTCCTACGTAAAATTGGAAGTGTCTTGGCGATGTTTCGACGAAGTCTCATTCATCATCTTCAGGCTGGTGCTTTCAGCTTCGTGCTTCTAGGAGCAAATTGCTCCTAGAAGAAAAAGCACCAGCCTGAAGATGATGAATGAGACTTCGTCGAAACGTCGCCAAGACACTTCCAATTTTACGTGGGAGAAAACCCGAATAACCAAAGACCTACATATATATATATATATATATATATATATATATATATATATATATATATATATATACATACATACACACACACACACATACATACATACATACATACACACATA